ATATATATATATATATATATATATATATACATATATATATATAAATATTCTTCTTTTGAGGTTGCAGTCATTAATAGGGCAGGATAAGTAAAACTCTTTGTTCTTTTATTTAGCTTTCACAAAATTTATTCGCTTCTTCAGGATATGCTAAAACATGGTTATAATTATTTAATCTCCTACCTACATATATATATATATATATATATATATATATATATATATATATATATATATATATATTAATAAAGTATTCAACTAGTTAATTTAGAGGTTAACCGGTCGTTCAGGTTGGCAAAATAAAAAACAGAAGTCAACTACTTCATAAGTTTATAGAAGACATTTTGCTTTATACTTCACTTTAAAGCTTCATCAGTTCTAACTCAATATGTCGTATTAAAGATGTTATTATATATGTACTTAAGTTTACTCATTATTTAGAACGAACTTAAAAAAAAAACAGAAACAAAGGACACAAAAACTTTGCAAAAAATAATATTCGCAGAAACGAAGATTTAACAAAATTTTAAACGTACATTTGGCTTCATTTAGAGATGGTTCTCCAATGAAGACAAACAAAACACTCACCAGTGTTTAGAAGTATAAAGCGAAACGTCTTCTATAAACTTATAAAGTAGTTGACTTCTGTTTTATATTTTGCCAACCTGAATGACCGATTCATCACTTCAATCCCTTTCAACAAAGTGCTTAGAGCATACACGAGCAAATTTAACATTAAAATTATCCAGGCATTTACACAAATGTTTCCAAACAGCTTGCATTTCCTTGTCTTTTGGAAAGCTATAAATTGCTGTACCGGGTACAAAACTCTTGCACATATTGTCAACGGCACAACCATACACTGCACACCTCATATCGGGAAAAAGTTAAAGCCTTGTAACACTTTTAAAATATTATTTTATTAAATATTGGCTATGAACCGTAAATATACATAAACGTCAAAACACAATATGGCGAAATTTAGCACAAGCTGACGTCACAAAAGTCATGCATAAGCCACGCCCACATGCGCGGTATCTTATCTGTTTGTATTTGTATCATGACTATTTACGGCAGACGTAACGTATCACAGTATTACTTTAGACAATAAAATCACAAAAAGAAAGGCTAGTTTGTGCACTGAATATCACTTCACTTTACTACTTACGTTCTTATATGAAATAACATTTCATCCCGCGCTCGCAATGTACAGTTCGCGACCAATCACCAATCCAAATGAAATATCGGCAAATTTAAATTTGCCGTACTTGGTAATTAAGTTCATATGGAAAGAAATGTATATTCGGTTACTAATCAACTAATATTCCGTTGATTTTTACAAGTAAATCGTCAAGGTTGGGATTGGCTTGCCGAAAAAAACAAAACGTGCCTTTTTAAGAATTCACAGGCGGATGGATGTCTCCGATATCGGATCATCAATTTGAAAAGTATCTACGCCGGTATCACTTAACGCTCAGATTGGACGAATTCTTTTAAAAACCATGAATAAAATTTAGTCTTTATTATCTCACAGATATTTTTTTATTTCACAAAAACAGACATCAACTGATTACTTGCCACAATTATTTATGAAATACTGATTAAATTAAATATTAAAAAAATCTATAATATCTATAAAGGTGTGGGTTGGCACTGCCCACCCTGACCGGCCGCCACTGATTGAGTTAGAAAAACCAAAGATTTTTATTAGAGGCCACTGTACCTGATAATTCCTACATATTTATAAATTGGTTTTTGGTAATAACGAAATAATCACTAATGGACACTAAGTCCATTTTACATCTTGCAATTATACCTGCAAGACGCAAGATTGTTGTCTAAAGGCATGCTCTGTATGTCGTCAGCTGATTATTTCCTGCAACTTCTTGCAATTGCACGATAATCGGTTTGGTGCAATTTTCTCTGCATCTTCCTTTTATATTCTATTTATATTAACCTTCCGTGTTCCCATATTTCCTTTAGCATGTTCTTTTTTATTGTGTCTCATCTTTGATCTACTCTATTTTCTTCTAATATGTCGTTTTCTTCAAATTTTTGTTTCAATCATGTTTGAAATAGCCATCGAGTTGTTTCATCTTCTAAGGTCTCAATTTTTTTTTTGTTCGTATATTTTGAGTAATTTTTTCTTTAGTGGTATTTTTATTAATATTTTCCCTAAAACCATAATGTGGTCTGATCCTAAGTTATTCGTTATTATATAAGTTCGCTTTAGTTTATTCATGTCCTTGGGTGTTTGTAAACGTGTATTTGTGTTGTCGTTTATGTGGAAAGAATGTGTTATTTATTCTAAAGATGTCTAATTAGTGCTTTTCCATTTCGATTTATTGTCTCTTCGTTGAAACGTTGTTTTATTCCTTATAATACTTCGTTTCCTATTTTTGCTTTTAAGTTGTCTAATATTATGACTTTTTCATGTATATTAATTGTATTCATCTGATATTGTAATGTATTCTAGAAAGCTTTTACTTATATCTGGAGCATAAACTGATATTAAATGTATTTTACTATTATCCATTTTGAGTATTCGGTGGTTAATATATTGTACATCATCTATACTTTTTTAAATTTCTGGTGGATGAGTATCCCAACTCCTGAGCTTGCACATGCTCCTTTTTCTTTCCCTTTGAGCTGTATAACAATATGTAATTTAGATATTTTACAGTTCTTTTATCTTTTTTTCTTGTCTCTGAAATTCCGCATATATCGATTTTGTAGGTATTCAGTTCCATAATTATTTCTTGTTCTCTGCTTGTCCGTAATTTGATATTCCAACATGCTATTCTTAACATATTCTTTGTCGTTGTTTTTTTCTCTCTCCATTTTCGTTGTCGTTTTGTTCCGTTTTGTTTACGAGGCTTGTTAACCGGTTCTTTGAACACTGATTCTTTTTTAAGATAGGTAGGTTGCTCACCTTGCCTATCAACCCTCCACTTTTATCTGGGCTTTAGACCAGCTGTGATAACTACTCGATCCACCCCATAATCATCTCAGGCAGTGTTTATGGTACTTCCCCCAAAGTAAAAATCTTGGTATTTGTTAGATTCATTTTAAGCCTATTCTTTCTGGGTTCGTTAATAATTATGACAATATCGTCCGCAAAGCGGGGATAACTCAGATATCATCCGTCAATATTTATACCTATTTGCTCCTAGTTAAGCTGCTTGAAAACGTCCTCTAGAGCCGTATAGCTGCATAGAGAAATCGTATATCCTTGTCTCACTTCTCTCTGAATGTGTATTTGTCTGCGTATATGATTTAGCAGGTTCTTATATTTCGAGTCTACTCTCGCGTATTCACAGTTCGACTGAATCAAAGGTCTGTGATAGTCAACAAATTTTAATAGTCAACGAATTTCTCTATGAATATTCTGATGTTCTATAGTGCCATAATCTTTTGCGGAAACTTGTCTGTTTTGGATGTTGATAGCAGAATTTATTAGGTATCCAGAAATAATTCAGACCAGCGAAATTAAATAAACTATAAGCAAGCGCAACCTAAACGTTAGCATCCGATGGATACGTTACGTACTCTCTACGCTACTTTACGGAGTAGGGAACTATAAAAACGTTAAAGGCTTTAGAAATGTGGCTGTACGAGACATACTGTGAATAACTCGGACAGACATAGTGACCAACACAGAGGTATTGACTCATTAAGACGAATGGGTAAAGATATGGTATCATTAACAACTGTTAAAAAGAAGAAAACGTCATATTTAGAAAACGTTATATAGAAGACGAGAGGAATTAAAATAGAAAACTACACTTGTTAAAGAGTTCAACAATTTAAATACTTAATAATAATAAAATAATAAGGATTAATAATAATAATAAAAATAAGAGAAGTCAAGAAGTAACGGAGTGAATACTAGCAGGCAACTAAACATACTGAATATGCCATAGGCTAATAAAGGACAAGAACTTATCCGGAAATACAAAACTGAAAATATACAGAGTTGAAATTGGACCACTAGTTTATACGCAGCTGAGACAAACTATCTCACGGATAAAGATCAAGAAAGATTAAGATTATTCGAAAGGAAAATCCTCAGAAGAATTATGAACTTGATAAGAATGGAAAACGAGGAAGTGAGAAGAAAAATGAACCATGAAATAATAGATATAAAGGGAGAAGATATAGTTAAATTTATTAAAGTGCAGAGACTAAGATATCTGGAACACATAGAGAGAAGGAAAAACAACCTACTGATTAAGAAGGTAACAAGATGGAAGCCAGAAACTGAAAGACCAACGGCAAGACCTAGACAGAGATGGAAGGATCAGACCAGGCGATATATCAAAATTCTAAAAGTGAGAAACTGGAGGGACCTATGCACAGATCGAAATTAGTGGAAAAATTTTTTATTGAAAGCCAAGCCATACAACAAACTGACAATATACGAAGAATGCGGCGTCATTCGCCGTAGTAAGCGAATCAAACACCCCTAAATAATAGCGGAAAACATTTAATCTATAATGAGAGGACAATGAATACCACAAACACATTTGAGACGATTTTAAAAAATTCACCGGAATTTAGCAAGAATGTCTCAATTAGCTGAATGCAGATGAGATAGATTGATAAGTCAAATAACCAAAAGACCAGGATTTAAACATATTCTCTACCACAAGAGATGATGAAGGTTCTGGAAAATACTATTTTGCTGAATAGAATGGCTACAGTGGTTTTTCTCCAAGACGTTAGATAAGTTGAATACTAATGAATGAACCAGGCTTGTAATTCCAAAACAGGCATCGAATTGCAATATTACCTTTTGTCTGAATTCATTTGACGTGTGATAATGAGGACTTCGAACAACTCAGATAAGTCGCATGATTTGAGTGGCAGATGAATGCGACGGATGAGTATGGAGGAGACCAAAAGGAAGGTATGCTCGAATTTATATTGAGGAGCGTCTTCGATTTTGAAATTTTTCTAATAGAGAGTAAGTTTAAGAATGATCTGTAATTTTTCTTTTTTAGACACCGGGTGAATTCGACTGGGACGAAAAGACCCAAAGTATAGTGCTGGGATCATTTTTCTACGGATATGTGCTAACTCAGGTGCCAGGGGGTCGATTGGCTGAGATTTTTGGCAGCAAGCGAGTATATGGAATAGGTGTTTTGGTCACTTCGATCTTCACTCTACTTACACCAATTGCTGCGAGAATGAACTTTACGCTATTTATTATCGTTAGAGTTTTAGAAGGAATGGGCGAGGTAAGAAATTTTTCATTTATTTAAAATGCTTTTTCTACTGATATTTATCTAGGAGATGGATTGTACAGTTGAGACAAGAATTAAGCTTGCTATTGGTAAGAGCTATAATACTTCATTTAGTAAACAAACAAAATTAAGCTTTTCATCAAAATAGTGTCCACCTTTGGTTATAATCGATTCCAATTTCGATGATCTTTTGTAGAACTATCTCCGCTGGTTTTAAACTTTCTTCCAGTTTCTTCAGTAACTTCTTCACCTGGGACCAAATATCTTTTCTTGACGCAATTTTTTGAGATTTTTAAACAAACAATTGTCACTGGAGACTAAATCTGAAGAAGATCGGTGCGGAAGTAATTCGAAGTGCAATACACTCTCTTCTTTATTTGTAGCCATTTTCTCACAATAATCTCTCAAACAGACAATAATGTTATATATGGCCCTTCGTTTCTCAAGAAAATCGATGAAAAAACTAATACGAGGCGTACCTACACTAAAAATTTTGCACAGTGCCATCTAGCGGAAGTTACTCGACTTCTTAAATGTAATTTTGTAACATTGACCTATTGAAAATCTATCGATGAGTTTAGACCAAAACAAGGAAAAAATTAAAATTTCTCATGAAAATCTTTGTACGATGTGCAGACAATTTCTTTACGTTTTCGAGAATCAATCAAATTACTAGTTTTAAGACGCCAGAATAGGCGGTAGAAGCATATAAAAATCTCATTTCTGATATAATTATTTACGACTGGAAAATTTCGACGATTCGTTTGTTCGAATTCAAAAGTGTATTGATCTTAAATGCGAATACTTTGAAACACAGCAAAGCTGTTTTTTCTCAAAGATATACTTTCCTTCTATTATTTGTGTAAAATTTTTGGCGTATGCCTCGTATGAGCATCTAAAATGCAGGCTGAAACTTTTACCAGCTGATGTGTGTGCCTTTGGTCGCTTCGGACGGCATTTCAATCAGTTTACTGACAATTTGACTTCTGAAATACAACAATGTTATTTTTAGGGTGTCACTTTTCCTTCGATGCACGCTATGTTAGCTAGATGGATTCCTCCTTTGGAAAGAAGCAAATTTGCGGCGTATGTTTATGCGGGTAAGTATTATATAAACGAATTATATCGAACCGTAGAAAAATATCGTAATTAGAGTAGGCTATGCACTAAACATTCCTACAATCGGAAGATTAGTCACTTCCGTCAAATACTATAGACTATAAAGGTCGATTCAGACACATCAGTCACGTCTCGTCACAGTGATTGCGCCGAACCGAACAATCCGTCATACAAAATATTCTTTAATACAAATATGTTGCCGGCATTCACACTCATCAGTTGACAAACAGTTTCCCAGCTGTCAGATTGTTGATAGTTCTGTGACCAAATAGGACCGGTTCGGCGCCGAGACTATGACGGGACTGATGTGTCTGAATTGACCTTTAAGGTCGATTCAGACACATCAGTCACGTCTCGTCACAGTGATTGCGCCGAACCGAACAATCCGTCATACAAAATATTCTTTAATACAAATATGTTGCCGGCATTCACACTCATCAGTTGACAAACAGTTTCCCAGCTGTCAGATAGTTGATAGTTCTGTGACCAAACAGGACCGGTTCGGCGCCGAGACTATAACGGGACTGATGTGTCTGAATTGACCTTAATACATCCAACTCCGACACAAAACTGGCAGCACGTTGCTTCTAGCGCCACGGCGGCTTGAGTTGATAACTACGTTTTGTCAACATAAACATACAAATTTTCTTTTTCTAATTTTTGTATTATTAGCTAATCTCGCTAAATTTTGTTTCTACTTTTACACAAAATGTCACACAAAATGGGTTCGGTGTGCGCTATGTACGGCTGTAACAATTATAAACAGCAAAAGGAACACAATTCATTTTTTAGAATACCAAAAGATAAAAATGTGTAAGTAGAAATATTGATTGAAAAGTTAAAATTTTGTTTTTTTTAAAGTATTTAGCGGTATGTATTTTAAATATGACTAAATTTCAGTTTAAAACAATGACCTTGACTTGCTATTTAAAGAAAAAGAACCTGAACATTTTAATAAAAGCTATGTGGGCTTCAGATCACTTCGAAATACAGTGTTTTAGAAACAAAAACTTATTCAGCCAAGGGTATGTTCTTTACTTTATGATAAAGTAGTTATTAATAAATTGTAAAGTATGTTACTCTTTTACTATCCATTTTGCAGCTTGTTTCGTGGATCGGTATTTATATCAAATTAAAAATGCTCCAAAAAGGAAGATTCGAGATACACCAGTAACGCACGAAAGGTTAGCTATTAACATATAATTTATTCTGTAATATTTTATGCAACATTTATTATAATTTTTAGTCATAAGAAAATTAAATTAGCAGAAATGCCGATGGATTTCACAAACGCCTTAACTTGTGCTACAACAACTAATGATGCATCAATTAATGATCTAATTGAAAATTTACAAAAAGAAAATGCAAATTTAAAAGTATCTATTGCCATGGAAAGAAAAAAATTAAAGAACAGAACCAGTTTATTATCTAAATACAAGAAGCAAAATGAAATTTTAAAGCGTAAACTTCAACAATTTAAAAAACAAAGATCATTAAACTTAGTCGGTGAAAAATTAAAAATGAATAAAGTTGGTAACCAATTCATTAATAGTCAATTAAGGTTGTCGCAAAGACATAAAAGAGGAAGAAGGTATGAAAGTTTTGATAAAGAGTTTGCTTTAGCTTTATTCTATAGTTCGACAAAGTCGTACACGCTACTTCAAAAATTTTTCTGTCTTCCAAGTTTAAACTCTTTACGATCTTGGCTAAATAATTTGCATGTACGTTGTGGTATAAATGAATCTGTATTAGAATTGTTGAAAATTAAAAGCAAAAAACTCCTACCGCATGAAAAAGTAATTTCTATTCTATTTGATGAAATGGCTTTACAAGAAAATATAAATTATGATGCTCGGAAAGATATTCGGAAACTCTCCAAAATGTATGTACAAATTGTTACAAGACTTTTATAGATAAATATTTTAATGTGTTAATAAAAGCTTATGTAAATAAAATTAACGACAGTAATAAGGAAAAATTATATAAATTAAAATGTAAAAATATCAAATTAAAGAAAATAACTCACAATTAAATTTGTATTTTGATTTAATCTATAAATAAACTAATAAATTACACTTATTAAATAACAGACTATTAAATGCATAAGTTTATAGTTATCAACTCATACCATGAGATGGCGCTATTTTGTTTGCTGCCACAAAACTAATGGGAAATGTCAAGAGTTGTATGTATTATAGTCTATAGTATTTGCTTCCGTATAACCTAATTTATTGTTAACAATTTTTTGCTTTCTTGAAAACATAAATTTAAAGTAAATAATATCATCTAAAACACGTTTAATCTCTTTTTGTTTCTTTTACAAAATAAACCCCATAATTAATTGGACATTAGCTAATGAGTGATAGCTGACATCAAATAAAGATTTGAGCTCAAATTGTTTAGGTAAAATGTTGCTAGTTTTCGTTCTACAGGGTGATTCATTAATATTTTTTTATATTATTTTTAGGGATATATTGAAATTTATTCAACCGATATAAGTGAAGTTTGGTATCTCGGTATTATTTAGTATGCTTAATATGAAGATGATATTAGTTTTACCATTGACGCTAGGTGGCGCCACCTACTATAACATTGGTTCATTCATTCACTGTGGCCATAATTTTTTTGTCCGCCCTGTATAAACATTCTAGGAAAAAAACATGAAATAACATTGAATTCTACACAAAAAAGGTATTCTTGATTGAATCGAAATAAACGTATTTTTTAGAGACGTGCCTAAAATGAAAAAAAGTTACAAAAACTTATAAAATTCAAACATTATTCAAAAGGTCTTAAATACCAGTGAATATTAAATATATTAGTAGTAGATAATTTTTGCAAGCAAAATGCATACGATTGAAACAATTATTTTTATTAAACCTTTTACATAGTAACAAATTTAAAAAAGAAATCAGAAATTATTTTAAATAATGAGTTTCTTTGGGCCCTAATTACGTTAACTCCCTCTACAATATTTTGCCATAACTCTTGACGGTTATTTATTTTTTTTTTAATATAAACAAGTGACTTTGGGTAGCCTCACAAGTGAAAGTCTAGGGGATTTAGTTCGAGACTGCGTGCTGGCCATGGGTATACACTAACCTCTACCAATCCACCTTTAAGGATAAATTTCATCTAGATAATTTCTAACTTCTAGGCTATAAGGTAGTGGAGCACCATCATGCATGTATCAAAAGTTACGTCTCTAGAGGTCTTCTAAAAGGGTTGGTAAATCTTCTCGCAAAAAAATTAAGATACGTTACTCCGTTAAGTCTAGTTGGTAATTCGAATGGTCCTACAATACAATCCCCAAATATGCCACAGCAGATATTTATAAAAAACCCATGTTGAAAATGATATTCTTGAAATGCATGAGAATTTTCTGTCGCATAGGTATGATCAGTTAAACACATCTCGTCTAGTAAACGTGGCTTCATCGGTAAATCAAATTTTATTATAAAACATTGGATCGTCATAGACTAAACACAGACAGGGCGGCTTGCACCGCATCTGCGCCTCGTCGACTGCCGCGCTGCTTAAAAGACATGAGGTGGTTTAATGGTGGCAGTAGTTTTACCATTTATTCGTTGTTGTCAAATTTAGTCGACTTTCGGACGTAGAATGGGATCATGATGTCTCTGCAATCATCTAGTGAAAGTGACGACGATTTGTTTTTCCCAATAAGTGCAAGTTAACTTCATATTAGATCAAAGAGGAAGAAGAAAGCAGGTATTGGATAAATCTTATAGTAAATGAATGAAAAAATAAAGGAATGTTTTACACGTTAGTTAACGAAATTAAAGATGGCCCAGAAAAACATCTTCCGAAATGTAAATGTGGGTAACCCAAGCATGTTTTTTCTTTATTTTATTCATAAAACTGCCGACGGCGCATGGTACTCAGCATAGGCCGCGCGGCGGCCGACGCGGCGAGCTGACAAACGACGTCTCGTCTGCGTTGCTGTATATGTACCATAGACGAGATACCGCAATCCTATTTTTGAGATGTAACGACCATGTTTCGCCTAATCTGTCGAACAATGATACAATAGTTTTATGGTTTGGTTCCTTTCTATTGAGATAAAGTTCAAAATAGCGTTGAGCTGCTTTACGAGAACAAAAATTTTCCTGGGCATACAAACAGATCATATCGCGAATGTTTACATTAGAAAATTCACTATGGCGTGGCACTTTACCTTTATTTTAAGTGGTTTATAAAAAACAAATAATGACTCGCACTGCACTTTGACAACTAGTAATAAATAAATTCGTAGTTACGTTTTGACGTTGCCATTAAGTTATTATAATAATTATTTTGCAAAAGCATTTTTGCAAAAAATTAAATAAATAGAGATATGCGTCATTAACAAAATACGTTTACTTCGAAAACGGTGTACTTTTACTAATTAAACACAAATAAACTGTTTAAAATATATTTATTTCGTTGAAATCATATAATAGAAGTATCACTTCTTACCTGCGCACAAAGTACACACATATTTTTTTTTTTATAATAATAGACTCGCACTTTGCCATTAAGTTCACAGCATACCTAGATACCTGCTTGTTTTGCGAAAAATTAAATACAGACATGCTTATCATTAACAAAATACGTTTATTTCGAAAACGGTGTACTTTTTTGATTTGAAACAAGAATACCTTTTTTATGTAGAATTGAATGTTATTTCATGTTTTTTTTCTAGAATCTTTATACAGGGCGGACAAAAAAATATGGCCACATTAATAAACCAATGTTATAGTAGGTGGCGCCACCTAGTGTCAATGGTAAAACAATCATTTTGATATTAAGCATAGTAAATAATAGCAAGATACCAAATTTCAATTAAATCAGTTGAATAGTTTTCAATATATCGCTAAAAATAATATAAAAAAATATTAATGATTCACCCTGTACAACAAAAACTAGCTACATTTTGTCTAAGCAATATTTTGATGTCAGCTATCACTCATTATCTAATGTCCAATTAATTAAGGGACGCCCTGTATATGAGTATTATTTGTTAGTTATGTAATAAAACTCAGAAACAAGGTCATTCAAAGTTAAATTTCATAGAGTGTGGTGTATTTCCAATGTGATAGTTCGGAATCATAAGCAAATTCCGCAAAATAAGTTAACACAAGAAACAAATTACTATTTTTTTTTATAGAGTCGACAATTAACATGGTGCCATTGATGTATTTACACTAATTTGGGCACTGTTTTGTGCCCAACATTAAAAACTATGCATTTTGGAAGTCAATACTGAAAATCGCCATTTACTTTTAAATTTGTGTGGGAATAATATTCGATAATTTTTGCTTTTTACTACATTACATGTCATTTTTACTTAATCTTCTCAAACTAACTTTTAAAAATATACGTCTCTAACCAAAAAACATCCATTATTTGTGAGTAATGTCACAGTCTACCCTAATTATGATTTTGTCGATGACTCCGTAGTATTATGTTACATAAATGCCAAGACAAATGCTAAATTATTACCACGTTTTTTTACAAATTAATTTCAGTTAAAAGTTTTCTTTATTAAAATTAATAATCATGACATTAAATACGAATTTTTCCCTCGTATCTGTTGAGAATATTTAAAATGACTGCAATTAATCTGTTCCTTTTGTGTCGGTTTTTGTACCTAACTTCACTACACAAAAAGAGTTGTCACTTAATAACATATGAAATGTTTATGTAATGTAGTTCCTTGTTTTTTAATAAAATTACTTTAAAGCCCTTGGTTAAATTCGTATAGACCAGTAAATGTATATTGTACCTCCAAAATGAGGAGGTTAATGAACTGGACATCTGCTTGTCATTAACCTTGAGTTATTTTTGACCGGATATTGTCTACACACACCAGATGCCCAGGTCGCTGACCTTCAGCTATTTTTAGATATTGGTCATTAACCTTGAGTTATTTTTAGACCGGATATTGTCTACACAATTTCAGCTTTTTTTAGATATTGGTCATTAACCTTGTGTGATTTTTAGACCGGATATTGTCTAGACAAGCAGATGTCCAGTTCATTAACCTCTTCATATTTTGCACACGGGATATATATCAAACTGGATGTTGTCTAGACTGCCAGGTGTCTCTCCTCCTCATTTTGAAGGTACAATATACAACTACTTAGACCAATTTTTACCATCAGTGTTACATATTGGACATCATTAATAACAGAGTAGCATGAAGATACAGAACGAAATATGTATAGGTGTTTGGCAGTGTTGCCATGTCTTTATAATGTACATATACAGTATAGGTAAAAGTTTATGGTCGGTATGGACCTTACATGAGATGGAGTGAGAAACAACTGTTTAAAAAGAGAGAGATATATTAGGTGTCCGCCTTTTATATCACCGAACATAAATTAGTGGATATGGAGTGGATATAATAAAAAGGGGAAATTCAACGTTGCCAAACTTATTGGTTTTATTTGACCTGTTGTCTTTTTCGCATTTGAACAATGCTCCAAGATAATGAAATTTGGGCGAAATGGATTTAAATGACAGCTTATTGTTTTTTATTGGGAATATGCCACAATTTTACTTTACAATAAGTGTAATATAACATTTTGATTTATACTTCGGAAATCGTTTTATATAAATAAAATTTATTAATGTTTGGTATTTTAAAAACGATTTCCGAATTAAAAATCTAAACATCAAAATAAGCTTATTTTAAAGTTACATTATGCCTTATTTCCAATAAAAATATTAAACTGCATATAAATAAAAAAGCTTCGTACAAAACTATTTGCCAACGTGGCGTGTTGCGTGGTCAAATCACCGAATCAAAACCTAAACAGGTATTTACGAATAGAGGTGGGTCAGTGACGTCGCAAAACCGATTTTCGTAAACAAGTAACTATGATTTTTTAATAGTAGTTTCAAGTAAGAAACTACCTACATAAACAAACATAATGGCTATTATCGTTTATCTGTATATTTATTGAAGTGAAGGAAATTAATAAAAGATTTTATTATAACTTGAAAACTAAACTAAACAATACAAATAGTAAATCGTACCTACGTTTACATTACACGTTATTATTAAATCACGAATCGTCTAAATTGACATTTAAAAACATAAGTTTTTTTACTTTACTTCTTATTAATTGTGTTTTTCTTTTATTTAAAATTAAACCTGATTTTGAACATGTGTTCACATTTACAATACTTTATGAATATAGTGGTTAAGTTAGGAGATACATGGCGATGGTTTTTCCACCATTGTAATGGACTCTCGCTACAGGTGTACGTTTAGATGAGTCATGTCCAATTAATTGATCAAAAATACACCATGGACTTAAGTCATCTTTCTCGGTTTCTTTTTCTTATACTGGTTGATTTTCAATAGTACAATCTTCTTGTTCTTTAATTATAGAAGTAACCAGCTTCTTAACTCTTTCTTTTGTTTTTTTAGCGTCATTTTTATCAGAAAATCCCTGCACTTTAAATCGTGAATCCATAAACGTACATAATGACAATATGCCACTGTATTCTATCCCTCTAAATCTTTTTGCTAAACCCGAGATTAGTAATTATCCCGTAATTAGTAATAAAAACCCGTACTACCTCGGATACTAACTATGGATGTAAGGTTACTGTTTGCTAAAATTTTATTGCAAGATTTTTGCAGGCAGCGTACCAGAACAATCACTGAACTATCATTCAAGTATTTTTGGCCACTCATTGTACTTGTTATTTCTTTAAAAGGCCGTAAAATTTAGGACAATTACGAAAAAATAATCCAGTCTTCATTATTTAGATTTGGTCTAAGTCTAAGTCTGTATTAACTGATACCAATGTGGAACGGATTGCCTCTTCTAACTCCGTCATTCTTTCTAACATGTAATAGGTGAAGTTCTACCTAGTTTCCACGTCTTGGATTGGCCGTTTGGGATCTTTGTTATGTTGTAATTGATACTTTAAAAGCGTTTCTGAAGATAAGGTACTTTTTTGAAATGTGTTTTTTGACGAATTGTCGAAAAAAAGACTTTTTATTTTATCTATTTGTACACGACAGCATTTAAGTGCGTCCTCCATCAATAAATTTAACGTATGAGCAAAACAATTTAAATGTTTTCATTCCAAAACACATTTAATAGCTATGACCATATTTGAGGCATTATCATTTACTGCAAAATTTACTTTTTGTTTTAGACCCCACTGAATAATAATTTCACTAATTTTAAAAGCCATGTTTTCTGAATTATGGTTTCCAGAAAAATGGCAGCAGTCTAATTAAACCGTGTTAAACTCTAAATTTTCGGTTAAATTCGTTAAAATCAACTAGTTGATGGTTGAAGCTGGTTACTTCTATAAAAAAAAAAGAAAAAGAAGATTATACTATTGAAAATTGACTAGTACAAGAAAAAGAAACTGATAAAGATGACTTAAGTCCATGTAAATGTAAGTACTATTTGTATTGTTTAATTTATTTTTCAAGTTATAATAAATATATTCTTCGTTAGTTTCTTTCACTTTAATACTTATACATATAAACGATAATAGCCAATATGTTTGTGTACTCGCTAATTTGAATACTGGTAAACAATCAACTAGTTACAGTTTACGAAAAACGGTTCCGATAAAAATTTAAAAAACTAAAGGACCCACCTCTAGTTTCTTAGCTTTATGAGGATCGGAACCACAGAATATGTAAAATATCTCTGATCGGAACTAATCGTCTCACTAACAGGCAAAATGGGCGTCAAGAAGATTAATGGAGGGGAGACCAAGGGGGAATATGATTGTTATCTTTGTCTATTCGCTGAAAATATGATTTTATATCTGTGTTAGATATCCTGTTAAGTTTTACCATACCGACCATAAAATTTTACCTACACTGTATGTTATATACTTCAAACAACGATGTATCTTTGGCTTCAATTATAAAATGAAAAAGCGTTTAAAAAGTACATTTTTATTATATTGGATATGGATACTCCCAATTTTTTTAATTTATATAAAACACAAACGAATAAATATTTGTTTCCAAGTTTCCAAAGCAGTTGCCAGATTGCAACAGATGTCCTTTTATCTTTATTTATACTGAAATTTTACTATTTAGTTTTCAAAAACTATTTTTCTTATTGGTTTTAATTGCATGTGTTTAATTTTTAGTGTAAATTTAAACAAAAGGAACTATGTACTCCTATTATTAATAATTTTCCAGATATCTATTATTTAAAATTTTGTTTTACTTTTTTATTATCTTTTTTGTATATATTTTACTTTCAGGTACCAATTTTGGAACGATACTTTCGTTACCAATATCCGGATGGCTGTGTTCCCTAAAATTAGATAATGGTTGGCCTTTAAGTTTTTATATTTTCGGAGTATTGGGCATCGTCTGGTACTTATTTTGGATACTATTAATATACGATACTCCAATGTCACATCCAAGGATCGATCCGCAGGAGAAAGCTTTTATTTTAGCCAGTATAGGACCTCAGGTATGTTACTTGACATATATTGGGTAATTTTTTATAAAACCGGTGCACGTCATGCAATTTTGACGTTGACAATTTCGCACAGGGTAAGGACACAGAATAATAAACAATTAGAATGCCCACTCTGCTTGAAAAAATAAGTACGCGCATCTCGTTCGCGCAGACGGAATCAGCCATGTTTTAAACGGAACCAGTGCTGTTCAGTGACATTTTATCTGGTGTGCATAGAAAAATTAACCCGGTTTAATTTATTTACGGCAACTATAGACATAATATGCACTATTTTATTCGTACTTTTAATTGAAGAATAGATTAAATTATTTCAAATGTACTAAATTATTAATCTCTAAAAATTTAAATTACAGTTCTGTCGTAGCTTGTCACAAATTTCTCAATTCGAGTCTATGTTTCCGTTTAAAATATGGCGATCGCGTGCTGACAAACTTCAAAGGCGGAATCTGAGAGTGGGCGTTCTGATTGTTATTCATTCTGTGGTAAGGAATTATAAAATGAGGAAAATATATGGATTATTATAAATTCATGTATTCAGAGTCGAATTATGAAGATCACAAAATCACAACCATAAAAATAATTAAGTACAATGAAAAGTGTGAAAATTTAAAAATATTGAAGTAAATTATTAAAATACAAAAAATTCCAATTGACAGCTGAATATTATAAAGCATAAAACAATATACTATTAAGATAGTTGTCCAAATTGAGGTCCTTTCACGCGAATTTGTCTTTTGATTTTTGACTGGCATGACGACCACTGATTACGAAGTTGACGGGTTTACTTTAATGTTTCAGAGACGAAAATAATTTTTTCCTTCTGGGTTTTTTAGTCCAGTCGTCGGAGATTTGACCCCTAAAAATCATACGAACAAGCTGAATTTTGCAGATAATATTAATTTTGGGACCATAAAAAATATGCAAAAAGTTTACCACTTTTACCCCTGGGTTTTACCCTAAAACCCCCTTCGTAGAGGGGTAAAAACTCAAAAAAATCGATTTACCAAGAACTTGTACGCTGTAGAAAAAAAATTTTCAAATAAAAAATGTAGCTGAAAGAATTCTTGACAAAAATGTTACTTAGCACTTTTTCTGTAGAATAAACCGTTCTCTCAGAAACAACGCTTGAAGCGACCGGCGATTTTGAATGTCAGTTACGGGCGCGAAATCAATGTTAAATCAAATGTGTATCAAGTCGACGGTAAAAATTCGATATCTTTTGAACAGAGTGGGCTATCGACAAAAATTAAAATGCGTCTTAAAGATAAAGAGCGCAGCTTTCTTGTGCATATTTGTATTTTACGGGAAATAACGTGAGTTTCTATAAATCTGTTCAATAAATAAACATTGCGCGATTTTCGCCAATTTTGCCAATTTTTCGTATATCTCGTGAGATCAATAAAATTCATCACTTTAATTAACCGGTCATAGTGAAATTTTTATTGTTAGAGGCCATTCTTCAAAACAGAGTTGTGGCAACAAGTATAAGGCATTTGAAATATGACTAAAAAACGCAGAATTTAAACTTTTACATTACAAACAATCACACGACATGCCTCCAAAAATATGGTTTTGAGTGTAATTTGTACCAGAAAATGGGTAGTTTTAAAAACGTATTAATGTAATTAACAACAATACAAACACACAATAGAAACAATAAGACCATATCCACTGCTGGAGCGGAGTTAATAAAGAATGTAGAGCAAAGGCAGGAATGGGAATACTAATCAAAAATAAGTGAAAGAACACAGGGTTAGAACATAGACATATACGATAAAGAGACAGTGATATTCGGAGTATATGCACCAACAGACGATTCCCCGAGAGTAGAAAAAGAACATTTCATGGAACAACTTCAACATCAAATAGAGCTAATTAAGAACGTGGAGATAATTATAACAGGAGACCTTAACGGCAGAACCGGAAGGAATGAGAACGATAAAGCAGTGGGGAGATTTGGAGAGGATGAACAAAACGATAACGGAGAACGTCTGATTGAATTATGCCTAAAAATCACCAACGAATTCTTCAGACATAAAAATATTCAGAAATAAACATGGACGCAAGAAACACGAAAGCTAAAATCGATAATAGACTACATAATAATCAAACAAGATATCACAATAAAGATCAAAGATGTGCGAGTCAGAAGAGGAGCAGAATGTGGAACGGACCATAAACTACTAATAGCAAAAATGGGCATTCATTGGAAACATAACAAGACCCCTCTACAGAAGAACCGTTGAACACTATAAGAGAAAAACAGTACAATATAGAACTACTCCAAGAACAATCAATAAAAGAACTATACCAACAACGTCTAGACCAAAAATTAATAGAATTTAGATACGGCAACAAATGAAGAAATATACGAGCATATAAAGGCGAGTATAAAACAAGCAGCATTCGAAGCCCTTGGAGAAAAAGAACATATAACAAATAAACAGCACTATTATGAAATAAATGAACCAACAAAAAGAATAATTGAAGAAAAAAAGCAACTATACAGAAAATGGCTGACTACAAACAACGATGAAGTTTATAAAGAATATAGAGAAAAAGATAGAGAAGTGAAAAAACAAATAACACAACAAAAGAATGAAGAATGGGAAAGAACCTGCTTAAATATTGAAACATACATAGGAGGTACAAGAACTTCGGAGTCATGGAAAGTACTGAGAGGATTGAAACAAAACTCAAAAGAAAAAATTAAATTGGGAAATATACAGGACAAAGAATGGAAGGACTATTACAAGGAACTGTTAACAGAACAAAGACCACAATTCATTGGAAAAGAAAACAGGCGAAGACGAAGCAGATCCCCACAACAAGAAATAGAAATAACAGATAGGGAAATGAGAACGGCCATAAAAGCAATCAAAAATAAGAAAGCACCGGGACCTGGAGGCATCTCACCTGAGCTTATAAAATACGGCTCAAAAAAATTACACCGGATGATACAATGGATATTTCAGAAAGCCATAAATGAAGAACAGCTCCCAAAGGAATGGACGGAGGCATATATGACATCTATATTTAAGAAAGGAGGTAGAAAAGGAGATAGAAGTAATATCATCAATCGGAAGATTATATATGTTAAGATACTGCGAGAAAAGATAGAGCAAGCGATAAAAGGCAAAATCGGGGAGAATCAGGCAGGCTTCACGACAGGAAGATCATACATAGACCACATATACACACTGGAACAACTGTTGGAAAAGAAAAAAGCAAAAAATAGAGATATACATTTGGCATTTGTGGACCTGAGAAAGGCGTATGACTCTATACCAAGGTCAGAACTATGGAAGGCAATGTACAAATTAGAAATACAGACGAAACTCATAGAAGCTACAAAAGCTCTGTATAAAGAAAATAAAGTGTCCATTAAATGTGAACAAGAATCATAGGAGACTTCACCACAACAAAAGGGCTCCTGCAGGTTGTTCCACATCTCCAACCCTATTCAAAATATACTTAGAGAAAGCCTTGACTACATAGAAAAGAAAATGCGAAGGCATGGGACTATCGGTACGGAACGAATATCTATATACGTTAAGCTTTGCAGACGATCAAGTAGTGATTGCACAAGACCAAGACGACCTCAGCTACATGATGAAGAAACTACAAGAAGAATATACCAAGGCTGGTCTAGATATTAACCTTGCGAAAACAGAGTACCTATCTACAAGTGAAGAAGACATAGAAAATCTACAGATTGATGACAACGTAACAATCAAAGGAAAGGATAAATTCAAATACTTGGGGTTTATAATCACTAAAAAGGCAACAACAAAGGAAGAAATTACGCAAAGATTATGACAAACAAGAACAGCAATCCGACAACTTAACTCAGTATGGTGGGAGAGACATCTAAATGTGAAAATAAAAACACAGATTTATAAAATATTAGTACGAAGTATTATGACATATGGGGCTGAAAATGGGATTATAAACAAGAAAAACAGCAGTAAGATAGTAGACACAAAGATGGAATGCCTGCGAAGATGCTGCAGAGTAACAAGAATATAACAAGAACTAGCGACAGCAGATGGATAAAGAGAATAACCGAATGGAGCCCCATAGGAAGGAGGAAAAGAGGACGACCCCGAAGATCCTGGAGAAACGAAGTAGACGACACCATGAGTAAGAGAGGCCTAAACGATGGAGAATGGGACAACAGAGAGAGATGGAAACGGTTGAGCAAGGGAAGGCAGTGAATAGTGTAGAATTCCTGAATATATATATATATATATATATATATATATATATATATATATATATATATATATATATATATATATGTTAAATTTATTTATTATTAAAAAAAGAGTAGTTTTAAATGTTTCAGATCGTTTGTAATGTGAAAGTTTAAATTCAGCGTTTTTAAGCATATTTCAAATGCTTCACATTTGTTGTCAAAACTCCAAACTAAAATTTCATATTATAGTTTTTCAAGATTAGGCCTAGTTATCGAAACTTCACAGTGGTCGGTTAATAAAAGGGATAAATTGTATTGATTTCATGAGAATCATAAAAGTCGGCAAAAATCGCGCCCTATATATTTATTTAACGCATTTATAAAAACTCGGCGAAATACGGCAAAATACAAAAATTGCATACAGAAGCTGCACTGTTTACCTCTATAATTCATCTTGATTTTTGTCGATAGGACTTCTTCTTCTTCTTCAAGTGCCCTGTCCGTTGCGAACGTTGGCTATTAACATGGCAATTCTGATCTTGTTTGCGGCGCTTCTGAATAGTTCGACCGATGTGAGCCCGAACCACTTCCGCAGATTTTGGAACCACGAGTCTCTTCTCCTGCCTGGCCCCCGCTTACTGTCAATTGACACGTATAGTGTCGATAGGACACTGGGATCAAAACATATCGAATTTTTACCGACGAGCTGAAACATTTTTTTTATGGCGTAAGCCCGAGAGTAAAAGTGTTAAACTTTTTTGCATCTTTTTTGGCGTCCTAAAATTGAAATTTTACTTTGATATCAGTTTGTTCGCATGATTTTTAGAGGTTCAGTGGCATATTCGTCTCTGATGACTGCAGTATTTCTTAATTTAATTATGAGGTTTGAGCTATTGAATTATGCTACAAATAAAAATTTTATAATATTTATGTAAATTTAGAACCAGACTAATTATATAAGATTGATACATACTGTCATACATACTTTATTTCACCTATTAATAATGATCGGTAGGAATTTTTGTGTTGTATGTTTGTTTTCAATAATGCTTCTGTCAAAATTTTCCCAAGCGCAGAAAATAAACTGTTGAAAAAAAACAAATATATTATTAATTTGTGAATAAACTCTTGTTAATTTGAAACGTCTATTTTTTAGGACGACCGGGATACGTCTTCAATACCATGGAAACATATGTTACGGTGCATGCCTTTATGGGCTATATTAGTAACACAATGTGGTCAGTCTTGGGCATTTTACACCCAGTTGACAGAACTGCCAACGTATATGGCACAAATTTTACACTTTGATATACAATCGGTAAGTATCGTTATACAAAAATTTGTACAATACGGCTTAACTCTCACTAATTGTGACGTGGCCGATGGCAGTAGGCTAGGTTATCGGTACAAAAAAGTGATCTAAAAGACGTGAACGCTGTATAGAGACCGGAAAAGAAAAGAATATGTCTTAAACCCTTCGTTCTCCTTTAAAATCCCTTAAGAAAACTCAAAGGATAGTTTTTTTAAAATTATTCACCTTTTCAAGGTGACGTTGCAACGTCTCGCAACTATGTGACTTTTTGGCATAAAGCGTGACATTCGACGTGACCCTGACAAGATAAAAAATAACCAGAATGAATCTTAGCGTTCTCTTATAGGATTTAACATGTTGGAATCAGGCCGTTTCCTTCTAACCTATTTATTTTTCAGGTTTATTAGATTGTGTTGCATAATCCTAGTTTGCTCCTTGATCGATGTCTTGGTCTATAATTAGATTAAATTCTAAAGGAGAATTTTTATAAATTTATATAAGGGAATTGCCGACTATTCTACAAAATTTTTAAAATAATATTTTTACATGCAAATATACGAGGATAGATTGATATTAAACTAGCCTTTGATAGATGACGCTACTTGATACCGAATTGGTTTCGGTGTTGACATTTGCCATTCACGTGTTTTCGAAGAAATGGAAAAAGTCGAGTATCGTTCGGTGATTAAGTTCCTCCAAAAAAAGGGTAAAACGAATGTGCAAATCAAAGCCGACCTGGACTAAGTTTATGGTGAGGTTGCACCTTCGTTAGTAATATGTAGTAAAATTTTGGAAAGCTGAATTTGTTCGTGGTCGTATGAGTAATTTTGATGATGAGCGTCCCGGGAGGCCAAATGAAGTCACCACGCCGGAAATGATCAACAAAGTCCATGACATGATTATGACAGATCGTCGAATTAAGCACCGCGAGTTAATAGAGGTCCTAAACATTTCCTACGAACGCGTACACAACATCATTCACCATAATTTGGACATGAAAAAGCTATCCGCGCGATGGGTGCCGCGTTTGCTGAGAATTGATAAAATGCAAAAACGTGTGACCAATTCGGAGACGCTTTTGGTGATGATACGGCGCGATCCGAAGGATTTTTTTCGCTGATTCTTCTTTCGCAAAGAAGAGTCATGAAGAGTGCACATTCGGCCGGCAAAGTGATGGCGACTGTTTTCTGGGATGCGAAGGGCATCATCCACATCGACTACTTGGGAAAAGGAAAAACAATCAATAGTGAGTACTACGCAGCATTATTGGATCGATTCTATGCGGAATCGAGTCGAAAACGCCCCGGTTTGGAACGCAAAAAACTGCTCTTTCACCAAGACAATGCACCGGCTCACCGGTCGGCCGTCGCCATGGCAAAATTACACGAATTGGGCTATGAATTGGTTGAAAACCCACCGTATTCCCCAGATCTTGCCGCCAGCGATTTTCTCCTGTTTCCAAAAAAATGAAGTCGTCGCTGAAACTTCGGCCTATTTTGAAGAGCTCGAGCAGAAGTACTATTCAGATGGGATAAAAAAATTGGAACATCGTCTTACTAAGTGTATCGAGCTAAAAGGGGACTATGTTGAGAGATAAATCGGTTTAATTCCAAAAAACTTGTTTTTTTCTATCAAAGGCTAGTTTTATATCAATCCACCCTCGTACATTTCATGCCTTAAAAACACAAGGTAGAAAAAAATTAAAAATAAAACATACTAAGCTTTAACCATACATACATATCATAATTTTGATGAAAACTACTTAAAATAAAATGAAAATAACAAAAAAAAAACACTTCCCTAATTTCTTCCAGTTCTGTGTCTTGAGCTTCCTGAATCCAATTCCTGCGATTATTTTGACGTCGTCTGTCCATCGTGTAGGTGGTCTACCTCTGCTTCTTCTGTGTGCTAGTAGTCTCCATGCTTTAATTTTTTGGGTCCACTGCCAGTCATTCATTCTGCCCACATGGCCCGCCCGTTCCACTTTATCCACACTATGAGCTCGCTGATATCTGTTATACCTGTCCTTGTTCTTATTTAGTCTTCTTATAAGTAAAAACCATTCCATTCTTCTTCGGGCTACTCTGAGTTTGTTTTCTGTGACCTAATTTAATGATTTGGAAAAGTTCCGTTAGCCCTAGATATTTCCTTTGAAATATTCTAAATATTGATCCCTTTTAAGATGCGGTTTATTTTCTGCAAAGCGCACCCTATTCGCTATTCCCTGACAACCTCGATCTAAAGTCAAGCTTTGTTGAATGTAGTCCCCGTCAAACGTTATTTGAAACAATGTACTTTTTTCGCTAATATAAATATACCTAATTTTTTGAGTCCAGTCATTTTTCCATCTGCCGCTGAAGAAGATGTAACGTTTGATGTCACCATCTATGTCGAATGACCCCTTTCTTAATTGAGCAAGATCTGCTATAATTATCTTAAATATCTCTTTTTTATTTTTGTATTTCTCCTTTCTTTGTCTGTCAGGTATCTTATATTAGTACTGACAGGATGTTAATTATCTTTTTTTTTACAGGGTTTTTTCTTTTTGTAAAGCAGGTTGTTTATCACGACTTTTTACATGCATGTATCCCAGAAGGTTACAATAATAATCTGCGTTACGTTTTTTATCAATTTGGAGGTAATTCACGAGAAAATATTCTTTTGTATACCAAAAAATTGTTGATAACACTTTCTTGGTCAATTTCTAGAACCGAACTCGTTTCGGAATTGATGTACCGGATTCACAGCGCTCCTTTGGCTTAGGATGATCTTGGTAGACCAAAGTCTTTTTCATACTGGTAAAACGAAGCATTAGATTCTTTTTCTTCTTTCTAAAACGCTTCAAATGTTGCTGAGAAAGTCACACAGCTTTGCAAAATCCAAAACTTCACCCCTTCATCATAACTCAATAAGTTAATCACACTGCCTAATAAGATCTCTAGGGCTTTTACTAAGTCTCCCTTTGTTATTAGACGATTATACAACACCATATTCTGTAATTTCTGCAATACATTAACATATCTACACTTTTTATACTTCTTTATCAACCAGTGGTACCATCTTTAGAATAATAAAAAAACTCATTTAATACCCGTTTTTGTATCTTAGTTATGACTGTGAGAAATCTAAGTGAGCGCGAGTGTTTTTGTTGAAGTAAGTCAAACGTGAAGAGAGAGAGAGAGAGAGAGAGAGAGAGAGAGAGAGAGAGAGAGAGAGAGAGAGAGAGAGAGAGAGGAGAGAGAGAGAGAGAGAGAGAGAGAGAGAGAGAGAGAGAGAGAGAGGAGAGAGAGAGAGAGAGAGAGAGAGAGAGAGAGAGAGAGAGAGAGAGAGAGAAGAGAGAGAGAGAGAGAGAGAGAGAGAGAGAGAGAGAGAGAGAGAGAGAGAGAGAGGAGAGAGAGAGAGAGAGAGAGAGAGAGAGAGAGAGAGAGAGAGAGAGAGAGAGAGAGAGAGAGAGAGAGAGAGAGAGAGAGAGAGAGAGAGAGAGAGAGAGAGAGAGAGAGAGAGAGAGAGAGAGAGAGAGGAGAGAGAGAGAGAGAGAGAGAGAGAGTGCTACCTCACTTTAGCACTGATCTATTTTTCTGGAATAACTAGTCTGGGTTCTCTTGAAGTTCGATAAATAACTGAATTAAGCAGGAAATTTAGTATTTTCCAGTCATATATAGTGTCTTACTCTTAAGCTTAGTAATCTGAAACTGCATGATAATGGTTTCTAACAATGGTGTCAGAACTTATAAATGCTACGTGACTTTCCAGATCTAGATTGATACTGTTTTTATCATCTACTCTACTATCTATCTGGGCATTATAATGTAGCAGCTTATTTTTGAAGAGTCCATAGTCTAAACTGGAAGGCGTGTACGTGTTTACCCATGCAGCGAGATCGGTATAGAGCCACATGTCCAAAATAGAGACATTGTAGTCTGATGAATTGATTTGTTCAGCCTGAAAGTGTTTCTCCACCTATTCAAGTAATCTTTCTGAATATTGTTCTGAAGGTATTTTCTTATGGCATTTTAAAGTAATTAGTATTTAAATGAGAATAAGCCACAATTAAAGATTAACGTAAGTTTATTGACGTTTCAATTTCCACTTCGGAAATTATTCTCAAAATACAAACAGTAAATTAAACAAATTTTGTTTTTTGTTACTTGGTGAAAAATTCTTCTAATAATCTAATTTTATCTGACTCATTTATATTGACCATTCAGGCATATATATTATACATTTTAAAGTAGACTGACTTTAAAATGATATTGCCAATATTGTTGAGTTACGTTCCTGGGACGACTTTACTTGTAAGATAGTTCATTCGATTACATGAAATCAACTTTAACTTGAGAATATCCGTCAGAAAAAAATCATAGCATGTAATTCGCCTTTAAAAAGACAACCACATGTCATGATGACAGTAAAATTCTCCTGTTAGTAAATTATGAGGGAAAGACCAGGAAAAAACCTCATTATAATATCCTGATATGTTAAGTAATTGGTAGTACATTTAGTTTACTCTCAATAACACCAAATTCTGATTTTATATGTTATTTTATTATTTAAAAAACATAAATGATGTATTCTCGATATGTCACTGACTTACTGGTATTTTCCTTTTAATATGTTAAAAGAGGTTATTATATTAAAAGAGGAAGTTATTAACAGATACAACATTTATATTATATATATATCTGTGGTGTTAAGGCAAAAGGGGATGAGTCTGAAACAACAACTTTTCAGTAGAGCATAAAATCTAAAATTATCCCATCGGCCGTATGGCAAAAAGTGAATTAAAAAAATAATACAAACTTAAGTAAATTTTTTTAAACGATTATATTTATATAGAAATAGAGACTGTTTATATATATGTAAAATATAATATTTTTTTTTATATTTTGAAAAATATTTGACATATCCCCTTTTACCTTATTAAAAAATTGGTTGGATTTCGTTATATTAAACTTAACTCACTATTTTTATATGTTTATTTTGAGTAAATAATTACAATATAGGCAATCTAGGTACAAACAAAATAAATAATCCATAAATTTAATATTGGAAAATTCTACTTCTTGAAAAACTAAACATTTTGCACAAATTAATTTCAATGGTTAAATCAAATATCAGTAAGATTTGTATTCCAATTATTTATAATTTAATTATCTTCGTACTCCTCTAAGTCGGGATCCTCATTCTTAGCATTGGCATTGGAAGGCAAAGTTTTAAAAAAATCATGGCTTTCTGTTTCAATGAGATGAAGTATGCTAATGAGATCTCGTTTTTTTTCTTGGCTGATAGCAAGTCTAGTTCTATAGCATTTTTTTGGTAGTAAAAGATCATCAGACTTTCCCCTGCGAGAGAATGAAATTGATTTGAACGTTTCTCCCTCATCTAATTTTGTCTTATACTTTAGTACACCTGAGTCATGTTGTCCGCTAAAACGAAACCATTTGACATCGTGCCAATTAAATTTGGCACCAGCTATATTTACTTTTCGTAATTGAAGTGGACCTTTATACAAATCTGCAAAATCCAAGAACATATCGTTCTTCATAACAAAAACAGTGATAGTTGGACTTATGGATCTGACAAGATTATACCAATCGCTGGGCAAGTGAATGGACATGTTTGTTCTCTTCTTTTTCCGTTCAATTTGGGCATGAACTGAATCGCATTCCATGTGTGTGTGTCCCGGAATTAGAAATTTTTGATTAATTTGTAAGTCAGGTCGAATTCTAGTGATACAAAGAAACATTGCAGCTACGTGGCTATTTTTGTTTTGGCCACCACATGTGTCTGAATAAAAAGTCACCTCGGTGACATGGGATGGCAATGACACTAAAAGATGATAAAGGCAGGAAGCTATTTGATTTGCTCCACGGCCTCCTTCTACTTCGTGCCACATATAGCAAATAGCTTTTTTACTGTAGCAGTCATACACTGTTAGATTAAATGTCCACAGCAACCGTTTATAAAACACAATATTAGTCTTTAGATACGGAGTAGGAAGGCATTGCTGAAGATCAAAGCAATATACTCTTTTTGACTCGCTGGATTTTCCTTTATCATCATTTTTCATAGCATAAGCTGTATCGGCTTCTGATAAATGAGCATCATATTCATTTTGAAGTCTTTCTACTTCTTCTACAGAAGCAAGTTTTATTTTCATTTTGTATGAATCACATGTATTACATGTATCCAAAGAAGGCTTCTTAAATGATAAACCCATTGTACGGAATACATTTCCAAAAAAAGAGTATGATACAGGATTTTCAATCTTTTGCTTATACATTTCATAGATAATTGATATTGACAGACCTGATGGTAAATACTTTTTGGTGGTATGTCTTCTGCTATAATGTGACTCGTATAATGGGTAAGAATTTATATGATCTTTAATAAGCTGAACTGCATGGTCTCCAATTCTATTGAGCGGAACATGACTTCCTCTTTTATCTGGACCCAAGATACCTGATACACATTTTAATTGCTTTTTAATGATAACTTCAATACATTTATTGGATACTCCAAAAGTTTTAATAAAACAACCTTTGCACACTTCAACTAACTGGCCGTCGATTTTAAAGTGGTACTTATGATTCATACTCCTTTTTTTTGGATCTCCAGTTTTTACGCGAATTCGTTGAGATTTTTTTGGAACGTCTAAGATAAGGGAAGATAAATAAGCACTGCGTTTGTTATAATCTCCAATCGCCCATACTTCATCAAAAAGTGTTTGTTGATTTTCCAAAGAAATCCGATCTAAACATTTTTTACGACAGCTACCTGTTAATGCAATTACTTTTCTCGCAGTTATAGTTTTACCTGTCTTTGTTGTATATTCTAAACCCTTATTTCGTTTTTGTTGTAAAGTTTTTCGAAGGTTACATCCCCTTCGCTTCCTTTTATTAATGTTTGTTTCCAAAGGCTCAATATTTTCTTGCAGAAAATCCTGTGATTCATCAATAAGAGTATGTGTCTCTTCTAATGCACCTTCGGAAGCTGAGGATGTTGAGCCTGATAAGTTTTCAGGAGCATATGTTTCATCGCGAAGACTATCATCAGAGTCATAGTCACTTTGTTCTGGCATGATAGCTGACTGATAGGTTTCCTCGTAATTTGTAGAAGAACAACCTGAAATTAAAAAGAAATATAGATATTATTACTCGCAGATACAAATTTTTATTGAAAAAATGAACGTATAAGGGCTATCAAATTATTTTAGTTAAATTTATCAAAAAGGTGTTAAAAAATTTGGTTCTATATGGATAGATTGGCATCAGAATTATTTTATCCTGTAGATCTTCGCTTTTTGACCCTGGAATAACTCTGATTAAGTACACTACAATCAAATATAAGAACACTACTTTTGTAAGACCCTTTAAATAAATTTTCTGAAAATACTTTGGTAGACACTATACATTTCATTTTTACGACCGCAAAGACTGACTTCTCTGATTAGAGTTTAGTCATTTTAATTTATTTTAAAACATAAGTACCTTTTTTTAGCACAAAAAGCCAACAGGTACGTTACCTATATTTTGTTAATCAAATATTCTATTTTTATATTAAGACACAGTTTACACTCAACTAATCTTTTCTGAACTTTTATACTAGATGCCAAAATTCATTGCGATTCAATGAGAATAATCCTCGTGTAGTACATATTTTTCGAGCCACCACAAAAATATTTAGAAATGAAATAATATTTACCTGGAATTTCTCCATCAAAAATTAAACTAGAAGTTGAAGTGAAAACTAAGTCATTACTGGATTGTCTATTATGCTCGCTTTTCTGCTTTCTCGCTCTTTCTTTGGCGACACTGCAAAAATACATAAAAATATTGTTTCTGTTGTTAAACTTTTCTTGGTATGTTATAAATGTTTAACACCGTGATCACTTTGTAATCAATATAATTTTAAATACTTTTGAGGTTATAACCGTTAATAAGACAATCATTTTAGTAAATTATGATACTTACTTTGTGGTAACTGATTAGGAAGCACTAACGCAATAATTTTATCTGCTCTCTTCATAATTTCGTCAATTATGTTGTATATAATGACAATTTTCAATTTATTTGTCAAATATTCACACACTGTTTACACTTTCTAAATAAGAACTCTAAACGCTACCGTGCATATCACAGCCTCCTACTTACAGTTAACCTTAACAGTTAGTCCTTAACTGTAGGAGGCTGTGCGCATATGCAAATCACGCGACTTAACTCCTTTTGCCGTGTTATCGATTTCACTAGTCTTCAAACGACTAGTGAGATAAGTCAACTCATCTCGTTTTGTCTTACCATAATTTAAAATGTTTTGACATATCTCATTTGGTTTTGTTCTATTATTATAATGCTAAACTAGTTATTGACTCAACTCCTTTTTACCTTATTTAGATATTCAGGCACTGAATCTATTTTTGCAAATAACTCATTTTTGAATTTTTTTGACTCATCCCTTTTTCCTTGACACCACAGATATATATATATATATATATATATATATATATATATATATATATATATATATATATATATATATATATATATATATTATTAATAACAAACATAAAATCAGAATTAGGTGTTATTGAGAGTAAACTAAATGTACGACCAACTACTTACCATGTCGGGATAGTATTATGAGGTTGTTTTTCCTGTTTTCCCTCATAATTTACTATGGAATCACTAACAGGAGAATTTTACTGTTATCATGACATGTGGTTGTCTTTTTAAAGACGAATTACTATGATTTTTTTCTGACGGATATTCTCAAGTTAAAGTCATAATTCCATGTAATCGAATGAACTATCTTACGAGTAAAGTCGTCCCAGGAACGCAACTCAACAAAATTGATAATAATATTTTAAAGTCGTTTACTTTAAAATGTATAATGTATGTCTGAATTGTCAATATAAATGAGTCAGATAAAATTAAATTATTAGAAGAATTTTTCACTATGTAACAAAAAACAAAATTTGTTTAATTTACTAATGTTTGTATTTTGAGAACGATTTCCGAAGTGGAAATTGAAACGTCAATAAACTTACTTTAACCATCAATGGTGGGTTATTCATATTTAAATAGTAATTAATCTTTCTGAGTTTTATGATATAGAGTAGTAAATGTCCACAGTAGGATTGGTGGATTGTACAGTTACCCCTTCTAATCGCCCCATACGACAGGCAGAAGTTACATCGGAAATGTTCTACCATTGCACATACATGTAGCTCGGAAGAAATGAATTGATACTAGATGTTTGAAAACATGTCTCAGAAACATACCAAATTCAATGATTTTGAAAAATTTATAGAAATTTGGCAACAGTATAACTTAATAATTATTACCATAATGTACATCAAACGTCATTTATCAAGTTTTATCGCGCAAGTTTAAAAAAAGACGCATTCTAGTGGCATTGGTTAAATAAATCGTAAAATTGCATTGGTGTAATATTGTATTGAAATAAATTCTTCGTGATTTTAGGATGCTTTGCTTTCGGCTGTTCCATATTTCACAAGTTGGATCGGTGGTATATTATTCAGTATATTTGCAGATTGGTTACTTAGTAAAGGGTACTTATCGCTATCAACATCATACAAGGTGTTCAATTCCGTAGGTAAGTTATTTATACAAAATGTATTCTTTAATTAATTTTTCTATTTATTGATGATGAAAAAAAAAAAAATATGCCACAAGAAAAACAGTTAAGTATTTGTACTGTGGTGAGGAGATTTATAAAGAAAGGAAAAGCAAACCTCAAGATGCTGTTACCTTTTTTTCCTGCAAGTACTTCAATTAAATCGTTGTGTGATAAAGAGTGTAACTAAACATTTCTAAACACTAAATTTTAGTAAACTTCTTCAAACTTATTTGCTACAATTTAATAAATTTAATATGAAGCACTTTAATTTATTAGTATTTTGTTTTATTTTAGCGTCAGTTATTCCTTCTATTGGATTACTCGGGGTAGCATACGTGGGTTGTGACAAGGTAGCAGCCCAGCTGCTGCTGGCTCTTACAGCTACGTTCGGCGGTGCTGTATATGCAGGGAACCAAATGAATCACATCGCGTTGAGTCCACAGTATGCAGGTACTATGTACGGAATCACTAACTCTGCAGCCAATATGTGTGGATTTTTGGCTCCGTACGTGATAGGGCTTATAATACAAGGACAGGTAAGTGTCTACACAGTCTTCCCAATGTTCTATTTTGATAATAAAATTTCGTCGTACTCTATTTTTTGTAAAATTGTTTATTTTGTTGGCATATCATTTTTGGATTAAAATATTCGTAATTGATGTATCAAGTAACAACTAAAATCATATTTATTGTGTATACCCAAAATACACATATGTACATATAAAGATAAGAAGGACACCTAAGCATATTTTAACTTGATTTTTGCATTAGTCACATTCTAACATTACCAATTTATATGCTCTGTAATTATGAATTATCTAGCTGCTTTTAAATGACTTGCTTTAGATTTAATTATCATATATTCTTAGTGGCAAATTTTTGATAAAATGAGCACAAGAATTATACATTAATACTGATGGCATCACTGAAATTATCTTTTCTAAAATAGTTAGTTTTTTGTTTTAGTTCATTTTGCAGGACAATACATATACACTACTCTCCAAAATTAACGCACGACCTCAAATGTAGCATGATTTCGAAGTTATTTTTCCTTGAACTCTTGATTGGATTGTGATGTTTTTTTTTCACATTATATGTATAATTCTAAGGAATTACTGTACCAATGTTTTCTGAGAAATGTCGACGTTTTAATTATATACGGGGTGTTTAGGATTAAACTTGAGAGGTCGCTGGTTAAATTATATTGTATAAATAATTATAAAGAAAAAAATGTAATATTTCGACTGTAAATAAATAAAGTAGCGAAAAATAGCAAATATTTGTAGCAAATATATGTAAAATAAAATGTGGCAATTCAAATAACAATTGGCAAATTTAATAACTTATTGTCAACTCTATATGAGATTCACTTACCTTTTGTTTTGGTTGGGTCCCGCTTCGAGGTTGAGGTCTAAGGGTAAAATGAGATGCACAGCGATGTGGATCTGCTTGCTTTCGTCCGCGACGAGAGTTTCTTGAAGAGTGTGTCGATAATAGGGAAAAATACATATGTACGCGAATCCACTAGGGTGGTACTTCTGTTCTTGGACCTCCGGGAGTAGCAGTAAATTAAGCTTAAACTGACATTTTAAACTTGCTACACAAAGGACGGGTACGTTTCCTTAAGGACTCTGAAGTGTTTGGGTTTGATAAATGTTTCCCAAAACATGTTATTTTTCAGACAAGTGAATTCTCAGAACTTGACAATAATTAATCAGCCAATTTGTGTTCAAGAATTTAAAAGATTTAAAGTCATATTACAATTAGCTAAAATATGATTAAATAAGATTTACAACTAAATAAGGTCATATTCGGAATAATAAAAATAAAATATTTAAATCAGTCTTGACGCTTTTCCAAACATTCTCCGCCCCAAAACGAATGTTTTTAAAAACAACTACAATGATAATAATAAAAACGAACGCTAAACTATTAATATAATAATAATAATAATAATAATAATAACCTGTGGGAGTTTTTATCAGTTCTTCTATCAGGCGCGGCCCCCTGCGAATGGGGGATGCTTTCTGGGTATCCGTAGCGCAGATACCCAGAGGGTAACAGGAATACCTGTCGTGGAACAAAAACTGACACCTGGCAGTAGGTATAAAATGCACACCCATGATAATGGAGTTTATTAATTTATGTTTAGGGTCGCTGCCTGGGGATCGCCAGGGCACGTCTGGAGCCGACGCTGGACGTGACAGCATGCGGGACGTCGGTGGCAGGGTGTTGAGGAGGCGGGCCCCTGTCATACAATCAGCTACAGCCCAACAACAACAACAACAACCACAAGTGAGCCAAACAACAACAAGAGCTCCACCCGCTGAAGGTGCTGCGCTGGAACATCAGCCGGCGCTCACTCAAGCGGGACGACCGAGGCAGCGTATGAAGTGGACAGTGTCCATAAACGAAAATATTTTGCGCTTTTATTATAAGGTGACAAACCTCGGTCAAGAAACAATCGGCTATCGACAACAACTGTATGCCGAATTTTGCAGGGAGTACCCAGAAATCCAAGTATCTGAACAAAGAGTAGCAGATCAATACCGGGTAATTTTAAGAAACAATCTTATTCCAGAGAATAGACGCGACACCATCAGACGCGAAATCGAACGGGAGATCCATAACCAAGAGCAAGTTGCAGACCAAGTCCCTAATGAAATCCCTAATGAGCAGATTCCTGAGATTCTCATACAAGAAACTCAACCTAATAATACACAGCAGGACAATAACGAGTTGCACGATAGTCTGGCAAACGAAATGGCGCGCGCCGTACAAGAGTTTAGTGGAACAAACCCACTTAGCAGACCACCGCTACCAAAAATAAACTCTTCCAAGAAACTAGGAGCGCTGTTACAAATTGTGAATACTGAAGTCCTACCCAATTATATCACAGAAGCCCATACATTGGAATATTTGCATATGCTGATTTACTGTGCAGCAACAGCAATTGCTAATGTTATGGGCATTAAGATCAGAACACGACGGGGTACCAACATCGGAAGGACTGGTAACAGAATAGCACCCTGGGAAAAAACGACTGCTGAAGAAGATCGAATTACTGCGTAGGGACATTGGACAAATAACAGAGTACATAAGAGGAGTAAGAAGTAGAAAAATCATCAAAAGAGCTGAAGAAATACAGTTTAACACTCTAAGACACTCACAATATGATCCAGAAAACAACACACCTCAACAATGCCTGGACACATTAAAACAAAAACTATCTGTTTACTCAGGCCGCCTCAGGAGATACAAAGTTAGTAACAACCGGAAATGCGACAATATACTTTTTGAGCAAGCAGAGAAAACTTTCTATAGGAAACTTAATTCCACTGTAGAAAACGCAAATAAATCCTACCCAAGCCAAGAAGAAATTCATGAGTTTTGGGGAAACCAACTTTCGACGCCAGCTACCCATAACAACAATGCTGGATGGATTGAAGACACCACGAACAAATGTCAACACTACAGGAATATTCCTTATGAACCTTTCACCACTGAAGAAGTCTCGAACATTATCAAAGAGCTTCATAACTGGAAATCTCCTGGACCGGACGGAGTTCAAAACTTCTGGCTAAAGAAGTTTTGGAGTGTTCATGAGCTTTTAACAGTATTTATTACTAATATTATTTCTAATTCACAGGAAATACCATCATTCCTTACTCAGGGAACCACTTATCTAATACCGAAGGATCAAAATAACACCCAAGATCCAGCCAAGTACCGCCCAATTACTTGTCTTCCAACTTTGTACAAATTGGTCACATCCTGTGTGGCCCGGCGTATCTACCAACACTGTGCTCTGAACAATATCATAGAGCCCCAACAGAAAGGATGCGCTAAGGGCTCCATGGGGTGCAAAGAACAACTTATTATCGACTCAGTCATTTCTAACCAGGCATACACCAAAAAAAGAAACCTTTTTACTGCCTTCATTGACTACAAGAAGGCTTTTGATTCAGTGCCGCATGAATGGCTTATAGATATATTGAAAATATATAAAGTCGATGATAATCTCGTGACCTTTTTGAAGCATATAATGGCAGAGTGGAAGACTAAAATTCACCTTCAAATACCTGGTGAAATTAATATCGAAACTGAAGATATCCCTATTAACCGGGGCCTTTTCCAAGGGGACTCGTTGAGTCCACTTTGGTTCTGCCTAGCGATGAACCCACTATCTCAGCTGCTGAACTCTACTGACTCAGGATTTAGCATCAAAAATAACAACACCGTTGTAGCGAAGCTTAATCATCTGTTGTATATGGATGATTTAAAATTAATGGCTTCCACCCGAAATCACCTAGATGAGATGCTAAAAACTGTAGAAAATTTCTCAAATGACATCAGTATGCATTTTGGACTAGACAAGTGCCGTATACTAAATATAGTCAGAGGAAAGGTTCAGCCTGGAGGTTTCGATATGCAAGATGGCCAAAACATCGAGGCAATGGGTGAAAATGATATGTACAAATATCTCGGAGTAAAACAGGCACGTAAAATTGACCATAAACAAATGAAAACGGAACTAACTTCGGAGTTCGTGCGAAGAGTAAGACAACTAAATCGGTCATATCTTAATAGTAAAAATTTGTTTAGGGCATTAAATACGTACGCCTGTTCTGCGCTGAGCTACTCATTTGGTATTATAAAGTGGTCAAAAACGGATATAGAGGGTCTTCAGCGGAAAGTAAGAACACTTCTCACAAAGGCGCAAAAACATCATCCACGTAGTGCAGTAGAGAGAACAACATTGCCGCGGTATCGAGGGGGAAGAGGACTTATGGATATAGGTGAGCAATTAGATAAACAAATTGCTAATCTAAGACTTTATTTTCAGGTACAGGCAGAGACATCTACTTTACATCGAGCAATTTGCGCAGTAGATGATACGACGCCGCTTAAACTGAGGGAACAAGAAATGCGCATAAACCACCTGACTCAGCAAGAAAAAATGCGCACCTGGATGAGTAAACCTCTGCATGGGCGACATCTTAATGAGATCAACCAAGAATATGTCGACAATACAGCGTCGAACTATTGGTTGACTTCAGGAAAGATGTTTCCCGAGACTGAGGGTTTCCTACTTGCCATTCAGGATCAGGTTATTCCAACTAAAAATTACCTGAAATATATTGTTAAAGATCCTCAAGTCCAAAATGACAAATGCCGATATGGATGCCAAGCCCAAGAAACCATCCAACATCTTACCGGTGGCTGCCAGGCATTTGTCGGTACTGATTATAAAGAACGCCATGACTCAGTAGGAAAGATTATTCACCAAGAACTAGCTGACAAACTGGGACTTCTCCATACCGACCATCTTCCTTATTATCAATACGCTCCTGATAGAACGCTTGAAAATGACAACTACAAGCTATACTGGGACCGCACTGTGCTTACAGACCAACCAGTGGCCCATAATAGACCAGATCTCATACTAGTTAATAAACTTACTAGACAAACAACACTTATTGATGTGGCGATACCCAACACCAATAATTTAGTTGTTAAATACAACGAAAAGATC